TGGGCTGCCCTTTTTGTGATTAATTTAGATCTATGGATTTGATATCTGATACTTGTGACCAGATATTGAATGCACTTCCTAGGAAGACCTATTATTTTCTTGTTTGATCAATCAATTGATTTATTATTGTTTTTGCAGGGGAATTACTTTACACTTTTACCATTCTTACAACTTCCTCATCTCCAGCTTTAGAGTGGTTGCACGGTAAGTCCTAACTTTTCTGATTGCTGTTCTAGATCATGTTTACAGCTGGATTTGAATATTGATAGGGTTGGGATACAACTTAAAATTGTCAATCTCTGATGTGGGTGATTGGTGATCTGTTTAGATAGGATGCCTGTAATTTTGGGCGACAAAGAACGGATCGATATGTGGTTGAATGATTCTTCATCGTCCAAGTATGATAATGTCCTCAAACCATATGAAGCTCCTGATTTGGTAAGAACTTTTTTAAAGTATAATAGTAAATTTTGTTAATAATTCATTAATGTTTAAAATGTAAATGTTAGGTATGGTACCCTGTCACTCCTGCCATGGGAAAGCTATCATTTGATGGGCCGGACTGCATTAAAGAGGTATCTCATCTCGCCCATCTTTTTTGACTTTTATCCGACAATTTTGCCATCTTGGTTGAAGTTTAAAAATCATAGCATGTTGCAATAGACGTTGTGAGTTGTATTACTCTAGTAGCTTATGTGGTCATTGTTAGTTCTTCAGCAACAATCGATCTGGGAGCGTATATTTGTTTATTCAGCTAGTTCGTTTGCATGTTCTTTTTAATTATTTATATTTTTTCTGGTTTATTATGATTGATGATCGTATATTTGTTCGTTTTATTCGTTTTATCGGTTAATCTTATATAGATCAACATCATCATTGCTACTTCTTGTGCAGATACAGTTGAAGACCGATGGAAATAACCTCATCTCCAAATTTTTCTCCGCAAAGGAAACTAAAAAGGAACCTTCAGACTCACAAGAGAAAACTTCCTGTAACACATCTGTGAAGCCCGAGCCATCTCAAAGTCTGGAAGAACACAAAAGAGATGAAGATCATGTAGCTTCTTCCTGCTCCATTCGAGACAACAAATCAGAGGATAGTCTTGCAAAGTGTTCTCCGACTGCATCGACATGTCGAATAAAACGAGACCATGAAGGCTTCTCATCTGAGTCAGAAATCGGCATCAATGACGATGGTAAGATAAGCAGTAGTTCAAAAATAAGAAAGAAGGGAAGCCTGAAGACTGGGTTTGAGAACAAATCAACCCTCTTTTCATACTTCGGAAGGAAATAGGTAGGCCAACTCATGTGCCGGCCGCATCTCATGGTTATATGTATATTGCCGTAGTTTGTTTTATCTTTGCTGTGCAGGATACTGGTGAGGTACGTGGAAGGTTTTTTTTGTTGCAGATTTGGATTGTGTTATGCGAGCGTATTTTTGTTGTGTAAAGGCAGACTTCTGTAGCTTAGAAGGGAAGTTTGATTATGGTTGATCCTTCGGCTGTACACTAAATGGACTCTTTCTGTTACGTTTGTAGCAAATTTCCTCCTGCAAAAGGTACTATTTTTTTTTTTTTTGTTCATTTCTTTATCTCACGATTTTAAAACGCGTTTGGTAGGGAGATGTTTTTACTCTTAGAAAGAATGTTTCGTTTTCAACTAACGTGGGATCTCACAATCCACTTCTCTTGGAGACTAGCGTCCTCGTTAGCACGTCGCTTGATGTCTGATTCATATATTATTTGTAACAGCTCAAGCACACCACTAGATGTTATCCGCTTTGATTCCGTATCGCCGGTTTTAAGAAGCGTCTGTTAGAGAGGTTTTCACACTCTTATAAAAAATGTTTCCTCCCTCCAATCGATGAGGTCTCACATTTATAGAGGAAGTTGTCTAACATAAGGTTCTCACATTGAAATAGACTTCATTTTAAATGAAGTTTCTATGATTGAGCTACAAACAAAAAAATGATACATATTATTGGTACCTTAGTAAATATTAATTCTTTAAATATTTATTAACTATAATTTTCTAACTCTCAGTAACATAAATATTTAGGTGGTATTTGATAACTATTTATTTTTTTATTTTTAAAATTTAAAACTTTAAATACTATTTCAACAATATTACTGGAGTGTTTAAAATATATATATATATATATATATATATATATATATATATATTTTGTTATTTATTTTCTAGTTATATTTTCAAAAGTGAAGCTTTGAAAACTGAAAAAGTGATTTTTTTTTGTTCACTTTTATTTAATAATTTAAATATTTATTAAAAATCGTTAAATTTATTTATCATAGTTTCAAAAAACCGATCACACTTACACGATAAATGCTTCATTCATTCATCAACTAAGAGGGAACAAAGTTGGACGTAACAATGGCAAAAGTGAGAAATAAGCTTCTAACAACTTCTTGTTTGGAGTCAACTCCATAATCAACCTCTTGAGCGTTCGAAAAGGCCCAACCACAACTCGAGACCCTAGACAGAACCCTCGTCGCCGATTTCCAAGCCGTATTATGTTGCCCCGTAGTCGTCGTGATCGTCGTCGTGGGCGACACCAACCGACTATCCCAATGGAGGTCGAGCACATGGATGTTGCCATGGTTTCTCTCCTCAACATAGCCAAAGAGTTCTTGATCTAGCTGATTTGAATGTTGTTCATGTGGTGTATATATAGGTACAATGATAATAATCATTACATTGAAGGCTTAATGGTTTGATTTAAATAGGGATTTCTTTTTTAGGGTTGTGGCAGTCATGATTAGCTTTAGTAGATCAGGAGGCTTAAAAATCATAACTTTAGGGTATGAGCTATCATGAAATCCCTAATTATTAAATTCTTCATCATACTTTGAGTAAACCACTTTTAATATTAAACCATCATATACTTTATTTAACTTTTTGAGCAAGGAAGATTCCATCTAATAATAAACTCATCTACCTAAACAAATCATTGGTTGTAAAGAGATGGGAAAAAAAAGAAGGAAATAAAAGTGAAACGGGTTAGCGTTTTTGACCTCGTTTATATGGAAATTCACATATGCATCCTTATATGTAACAGTTTAAATCCATTACTGACAGATATTGTGGTTTTTGGGATTTCATTTGTGGGTTTTTTCTCAAGGTTTTACAACGCGTTTACTATGGAGAGGTTACAAATGGTATCGAGCCAAACACTGGATAGTGTACAAATGAGGACGTTGGGTCCCCAAGGGATTGGATTGTGAGATTCCACATTCGTTGGAGAGGTGAGCTTGGATTGTGAAAATCTCTCCATAACAGACGCGTTTTAAGATCTTAAGAGAAAGCTGAAAGAGTACAATATTTGGTAGCGGTGAGCTTGAGTCGTTATATCGTCCCTTTAACATGTTAAAAAACTTATTGAAAAAAGAAAATAACCTCATTTAAATTAAAATGATGAAAAAAGAAAATAAAAGAAAGAGTAATTAAATACTGTAAATAAATAAATAGAAAGCATGGAAAAACTTGATCCTTCATTATTATGTTAATCAGTGGGGTTAGGCTCTAATGTAAGTGATTACTAATATTCTTGGCCCCATGCCTAACTTCAAATTAAAATCATAAACATCAACCTAATTTCAATTATTTATTTCTAATAATTGAACACCTCTAAACCTGCTATTATATTCAAAAAATATTGAAAATTACATTAATAAATATATTGCTTAAAAAAAATTAGGTCTAAAAATATTACTACCACCCACTAATTTTTTAAATTTAATTTTTAACATGTTTTTTTATTAATTAAATATTGATGTGACATTAATCTTCACTAACTAAAAATATTTAAAAATAATTTGGTTAGAAGTATAGACTAATTCAATTTTAATGGGTGTGGTTTTTTCTTTATATATATTTTCGCATTTATACAAATTAATTAAAATTTCAAGAGAATTTGTAGTTCGAAAAGGCCCAACCACTTGAGCGTTCGAAAAGGCCCAACCACAACTCGAGACCCTAGACAGAACCCTCGTCGCCGATTTCCAAGCCGTATTATGTTGCCCCGTAGTCGTCGTGGGCGACACCAACCGACTATCCCAATGGAGGTCGAGCACATGGATGTTGCCATGGTTTCTCTCCTCAACATAGCCAAATTATAGGGTGATTTATTTAAATTATAGAACATAGATATGTTATTTTAATTTTTAGTAAAACAATGGAATATTTAAAGCATAAGAGATTATTATTATTATTATTATTATTATTATACCCTACATTTTAATAAAGTAAAGCTATATTTTGATTAATAATTGTTTGAAAAAAATTAAACTGTACCAACAAATTCAATTTTTTGTCTTGAAACTTGATCGTAAATTATAAGATTTTGCGATTTCTTCTAATTATTGTAGGTTAGACGGCCTCCTAAGAATTTTTATAAAATATATGTGAGTGAAGACAAAACATATTAAAACAGCCTGTGTTAGTAATGTGGTGATAATCTTCACTTTTAGAAGTTAAGTAACATGACTATGTCGCATGAGATGAAGAAGAATATCGAGCTATCGAGTACCAAATCTGAATTCTAAATCCCAATCAAAATTACCGAAATGAATTGCTTAATATAAGTTTACTTTTTGTCAACTAAATTTAGAAAGTACAAAACTATTCTCTAAGAGAGAAGAAATGAGTTGTTAGGATCCCACAACTCACACAATTCATCTAAATGAAGAACATGAAGAACATGAGAGAACTCATATATTTGATCTAGACGAAGAACAAGAGAGAATTCACACATTTGATCTAAATGAAGAACACAAAGAACAACTCACACATTTGATCTAGATGAAGAACACGAATAATTGGAAAGAACTCACATATTTGATCTAGAAAGAACTCACATATAATTTAGAACATGAAAGAACAGAATGCGGCAAACATCAAGATAGTAAACTCCTTATGACATATACTTGATCATTACTAGATGCTTGAAATTACGCCATAAATTTGTTTAGAGCGGAGAAGAACTAATTTTGAAACGATGATCCAAATTTTTGAAAAAGTTTTAAGGGCTAAAATTCAACGGAAAATCTAAGTTTCTCTAGTAATAATTCATATATATTAGATCAAAATAGAGTTCAAGCAGAGTGATTCTTCCATTTATGAACTGGATATTTGATTGCATTGAGCTCAAGTTTCCTAAGAACAGCTTGAGCAAGATCAATGCCGCAAATATCAGACAATCTCACCAAATACAAAAGCACATCGGAAAGCTCTTCCCCTAAGTGCTCCTTCTCCTTCTCCTCCCACTCCGGCAGCCCCTTCGGCACTTCTCCTTTCCATTGGAATATTTCCGATACCTCTCCCACTTCTCCGACCTGCGCGATTCTTTCATTTCAGAAACAACTACTTTCTATAAGTACTTGAAATTTCATACTCTGTTCTTGAAAAAAGTACTTGAAATTCGAAGAAGAAGAAGAAGAAGAAGAATACCAGAGCAAGAAGGAGATTTCTAGGGCTATGAAATCGCTCCCAATCCCTTTCCTTAGCGAATTCCGCCATTTTCGTCTTCAGAACCTCCAAACTCACACTTCCTTCACTTCCAGTCATCTTCTTCACGATCAAACCCTAAAATCACTCTCTCCAACAGCGCTTACGAAGGAAGAACACGCAGAAACCTAACGCAACGAGTTTATTGAAACTCTGTGCGAATACGATTTTCTTGGAGTCGAAGGATTTGGCAATCGCCGCGCTCTCTCTCTCTCTCTCTCTCTCTCTCTCTCTCTTCATCTTATAGTACAGAAGAGAGAGAAGAAGAGCGTTTTGTGAGACCGGCTATTGCCGGTTGATAATATGGAAGATGAGATAAGAACGTAGGGCTGACCGACACGTGTCAGTTCAGAAGTTAAATTTTCATCTTTATAATTTGATAAAACTTAAAAAAAACAATATTTTTAAAAACTTCAAAAACCTTTTAATTTTACGTAATTTTAAATATCAATATAATTTATTTTAAATTTAATATAACCAAAATAAAATAAAATAAACATAAATCATAACCCATTAATGAGTTAAATAATAATCCCTTTTAGGTTTATTAAATAATTATCCGTTCATAGTCAATTTAAATACCTAATATATCTCGATGTGACACCGGTATGGATTACATCGAATTAATACCGTAAATCTTAATTTAAATAATTATGTGACATCATCAATATTAATTTCGGATATGATCAACCATATCCTATAAAAGTGGAAAGCGTAATTAATTATAAAATATTTATAATATGTCAAATCATCTCTTTATAAAATTAAAAATATAATATTCGACCGCATAAAATAAACTCTAAATCTCTCGAAAGATCGTTTTGATTGGATTGAAACGAAAGAGACATTAACAAAAAAGAGTTTTTTTCACGTGCTCGAATTCAAATTCTTCTTTAGCTTTTAAGGTTGTGTTGTTTTCCGACCAAAAGACAAAACATTGAAAGTAGACAAAATGTAAAAGGTTGTTGATCGAGTTTTGTGTTTGGTCTCGGTATTAAAAAATGTGTAATAATTTAGTCTTTATTATAACAATTATTATCCAAAATTATTGTTTTTTTTTAAAAAATTGATAGATAATATATTTATAAGTTAAAAGGTTGTAAAATTATAATAAAAATGAAATTTAATTTTGATAAAATTTCTTATGGGTCGAAAATTGATATGGAGAATATAATTATCAATATGAAGAAGAGAAGAGAATTTGAATTGAAATTCCGAAGGATATACTTTGAATCTTCTTCATTTTAATCAAATTTTAAAGCAAAAATATAAAAGTAAACTAAAAACAATTCCCTTTTTTTTCTTGAAAGTGAAAGAACTTTTATATCAATTTTCATGGGGACACCATACCCACATGAATAAAAAAAAAAAAATAATGCAATTTTGTTTTATCTTCTAATTTGATCGTCCCGGTTGAATTTTACAATCGCATGTAACATTGAATACAATTATGTATTGGGTAGATATTCGATATGAAAAGTTAGTGGTCGATATTGAATATGATACATTAATTCAACTTCGTGGAATAATAACTTATTGAATAAAACATTAATTACTTGTGAGATCTTATATTGATTGAAAAAGAGTACGAAACATTCTTTTAGCAAGGAAACCTCTCAATTGTGAGCGACAATATGCTAAAACGGACAATATCGGTTATTAGAGTTGAACTATTACATTATTGTTCCAAAAGTCAATAATTGAATCTAAAATGTTCATTTAGTCAACCTCAAACATCTTGCAGTTGTCAGAGCCTTCTTAAGTCAGAGCCTTCTTAAACTTTGAAAAACTTAGCATAGAATTGGTCGTTAGAACCACTCTTATACGAATGCAATCTCGATTCATCCATATATCCCTTTTCATAAGTATCATATATCCACCCGCTTTTCTCTTGGCTTGTCCCTGAACCACATCTTAGTAGAACGATATTCAAACATGTCAATGAAATTCAACGTTCTAATAGTTTTTCTATTTCAATAGTAGCTTAAAACATTTATACAGGGTCGGTCTCCACCCTCTTCTTTCTTCCTCCTCCGCCTCCTGTCCTTCTCCGTCCTCCCATAAATACCTAAATAACGCGACAACTTATGGAAAGTCCAAATGTTTTCTCCTAAAGAATGGCTAGCTACTTTTTAACTAGTGGGTTGTCTAAGCATCCACATGCACACACAATGATGCTAGGAGTCGAGGAATAGAGAGAAAAATGAAGACGACAATATCAAATGAGCTAAGGCGAGAAAAATGAAGGTGAAAAAGAGCTCGAACAAGAACAAGAACAAAGACAAGGACATAAAAAAAATAACGTTATGCAGATAAACATATTACACATCAAAGTTTTGAGCATATATATTAGAGAGTTGAAATATCATCCAGTACATCAAGAAATTAACAAGGCAGTTTGTTTTTTGTTGTTGTTGTTTTTTTTTTTTTTTTTTTTTTTTTTTTTTTTTTTTTTTTTTTTTTTTT